CACTATCCAGTGCGCCACCGGGCCGGCCCTATAGTCATTTATGATAAAGGAGGCATCACAAATTAAATGGGAAAGCAATGGATTATTCAGTACATAGTATTGTGTGTTAATTATATATTGAGGACATTTATGTAGGAAAACATTAGTTTAATTTTTCATCTCACACATATAGCAAAATAATTTCCAGATGAATTTAGAGTTGAGTTCAATGAAAAATTTTTTAAAAAGCCTTTATCTGATCTCTGAATAAAAAGTACTTCCTAAGAAAAGATAAAGACAATATTAGAAAACAGTGGAAATGGTTGATAGATCTAACTACAAAAAAAACTTTTTTATATCAAATAAAATAAAAAATATAATTAAAAAGATAACTAAAAAAATTTCATATAGGCTACTAAAATAAATAACTTATAAATTATTACTGTTCATATTGATCACTGTTTTTGAGCACGTGTATCAGACAAAATGCTAAGCATATCTTCTTCATTCTTACAATTACTCCCTGTGGGAGGTGATCTTATGCCCATTTATAGATGGAAAAACTGAAGCACTTTCCTGTGGTCACACATCTAGCCAGAGGCAGAGTTGGTATTCAGACTCATACAAGGGAACTTCAAAAAGTTTGTAGAAAAATAGAATTAAAAGATAACGTGGACTTTTTGAAGTACCTTCATGTCTCTTACTCCAGACCTATGTTACCAAACACTTGCCCCTACTGCCTTTCATTAGATGTGAAAAGTACTGTTTCTGATAGAAAAATGTGAAGAGGACCCAATGAACAATGGTTAATGGTTAGTTAATGCTTAGACTCATCTGTAATCAAAGAAATGCAAATTTTTTAAACCATAAAGCTTTTGTTATCTCTCAAATTATCAAAGATTTAAAAAATTATGTTAGGCTGTGATGAGGGAAACACTCTTATTCATCACTGGTGGGAGTAAAAATTGGTAGAAATGCTCTGAAAAGTCCTTTGAAGGTATGTTTCAAGAATTCCTAAAAATGTTTATGCCCTAGTAGTAACATAACTCCATTTCAGGAAATACATACTAAGGAAATGATCATAAATGTAGCCAAAGATTTACATATAAATTTGTTAGACATAATATTCTTTTAAATAATTTTATTTCTGATCTCTTTTAAACAGAGAAAATATAACACTCTTTAACAGATGTTAGCTGTCACAGTATTTTTTTATCAGTGAGAAATTAGTAACCATTCTAAATGTTCAACAGTAGGATATTGATTGAATAAATACTATATAGACTATCCTATAGCCATTAAAATTCGTTTATAAAGAATTTCTAGCAACAAGGAATGCTTATATAGTGTTAGTAAAATTCAGAAATTATAATCATTTATTTTTAGTATAGTATCAACTATGTAAAAATTTAATCTACATATATATTTTCATAGAGGAAATAAAAGGCCAGTGATTATCTTTGAGGAGTGGAAAAACTTGGGTATTATTTTCTTCTCTATATTTTCTGGATTTTCTAAGTACTCTGTATATATTACTTTGGGAATCAGATTTTAAATTTGATAGAATTTATTGTTTTTCTTAAAAGAATATTAAGTTAAGGTTTTATTAAGTCTTATTAATTTATTATATTTCTTAAAAGAATATNGTAACTAACATATGCTAGTATTAAAGCCATGAACTTGACTGAGATCACTCTAGGAGTGAGTATAGATGGAAAAAGAGTCCAAGCACTGAGCCTTGGAACTTGGCATGAAAAGGTATGATGGTAAATGTCTTTGTACTTAGAATGAACTTCTTCAGAACCACAGTGCAAACCTGGCCAAATATTTTAGAAGTTATAAATCTGAAGCAGACCGTGTATTTTCCTGGAATAAATGGACTTAATTAAAGCAAAAGTTTAAAAATAGATATGCTAAATATTCAGCACAGCAGATATATTTGTTTTTGTCTGTATAAGGGTAGATAAAATTTAATGTAAATTGGCTTTAGGAAATTATTCTTACCCTTAAATTAAGATAGAAGAAATCATGGCATTGCTTTGAGATATATCACGTACATTGATAAATAGCCTGAGAACACTCTTCATTTATTAGGATTTGAGGTGATAGTTAATCTTTGCACCATCTGTCTAATCTTGTTATTTTTTCTCAAACAGTATTTTTTTATGAACAGTATTGAGACTATGTCTACGCTTGTCCTTTTGATCCAATAGCTGATCAATTCTGTAGGGAAAAAAGTCAAATGAATATTTTGACTTAAGTATTACTAATTACTTTATTAGGTAGTAGATCATTTTAGTCCAATTGAATAATCTGAACCACTGTACAGAAATAGCTTCTTGCTTTTTCCTCAAAAGTTAAACGTCTAGTACTCACGTTGTCCTTTTATATTACAGTTAGGTTTTTTGGTTGTTCCTACTACTTTTGTAACAATGTGGATAAACAAATTGCCTCCAGGCATTCATTTAAAAAAAGGTATGCTTTATAAAGGTAAAAATGAAAAGGACTATGAAAAATTTTAGTAGGAAAGATTTATAAAGTGCCTTCTTTACAATTACTGACATTTACTTCAGTTTCCTTTAGGTCAGATCAAACTCTGGGAGGCTAAAGTTGAAGAGGTTGACAGATCCTGTGATTCAGATGAAGATTATGAAGCCAGTGGACGTAGTCTGTTATCCACACATTACACCATCGTTACCCACCCCAAAGACCAAGGTCCAACTTACCTCTTAATTGGATCCAAGCATGAAAAGGTATTTAAAGACTTATTGGTTGATTTAGAATGAGTTAGACTACCCGGAAACAAGCCTTGTTTGAATGTGTCACTTTTCAACTCTATTGATAAAAGTGGGCTCAAAGGCTGAAATTGGTGCATATGGTAGAGAACAGAGGGACTTATGTTAAAATGTAGATCTCTCAGACTGGATATTTTGTGGTGAATCTAAGGCCTCCATCTTATACTTTTTATTCATTTTCAGTACGATTTTGGTTTAGGTACCATTTTAAATGAATGATTATACATTTTCTATGTATGTATAGTCATTTATTTATTTATTTATTTNATTTCTTAAAAGAATATTAAGTTAAGGTTTTATTAAGTCTTATTAAGTTAATTTATTATATTTCTTAAAAGAATACTAAATTAAGGTTGTGTTTATTCTAGTGTCTTAATATTGTATTACTCTCCTTAATTTTGTCATGCTTTTCTAAGAAACATGTATAGAAAGTAATAAAAATGTGAATGATGGGAAATTGTAAGATGAGCAAATTCAAGAGAGGCTACCTTGGAAATGTTTAACTACCTGGCTTTTAGTTATTATTTAAAAATTAAGTAAAGAAGTTTCTTTTCAGTCTCAAAGCTTTCTACTCCTTATGCAAGTTGTTCTTTTCCTTAAGTAATCAAAACTGTATCTTAACATTTCTATTAATATGTTCTGATTTTAAGGATACATGGCTTTATCATCTGACTGTTGCAGCTGGAAGTAACAATGTAAAGGTTGGATCTGAATTTGAACAACTCGTTTGCAAATTGCTAAATATAGAAGGGGAACCTTGTAAGTTCATAAACATATAAAGCTTTATGGTTTATGAAATGGACCCCAGCCCCCTTAGCCTAATAGAATTTTCACTTGATGGGTTCCTGTTTCTCTGCAATGTATGCACCCATCTTTTCATTGGCTTTGCTTGTAATGGGCCAGAATTCTCTTTATGATTCTTAGGCACCAGGGACACCATCATGCCCCAGTGTGCTGTGTCACACCCCCATCTTTTCTCACATTGCTCCCTCTGCTTGAAATGCCCCCCTTTGTTGGCAGTCCAACGTGATGAAACCCTGCCTAACCTTAGGAGATTCTCCCAGCCAGCCCAATTCAGCTCAGCATCTAGGTGCTTAATCAATGTTAAAATTATGTCCCAATGCGTTTTACCATTCAGCTTTTATAGCATTTGTAGCTTTGCATTGAAATTAATTTTTTATAGATAGGTTTTCCCCATTGAGAGTCTAGATTCTACCATGCTTTACATACTGAGACCTCATTTCATTTGCAATGTCCATCACAGGAATTTAATAAATGTCCATTTTAGGAATGACATCAAGTTCATCTTTATATTTTTATCTCCTCTTGCTTTGGCTTCTTCTCCCTAGATCTTTCCCCAGCTCCTTCTACCTACCTAGGTCACCTGTCTTTAGTACATTTAAGCAGTATGATAGTGCCCTGGTAGACTTGTTATAGCCTAATAAATTAGGACACAACTCTTCTAGATTTACTCTATCTAAAACAGAAACATGAGAATCCCAATGGCCTGGCAACTGAAATAACATGTTGCCAAAGGTTTTTCCTGACCAAAAGTTATGAGCCAGGCTTCAATGAGCTGATTTCTAAAGGGTTAATTTAATGGGAGGCCAAAATAAGTGAATTGTTCAGTTTTCTGTTCATATCTTATTCTGTGTTTAGCCTCTCAGATATGGAGACACCCCACTTTGTGTCACAGCAAAGAAGGAATCACTTCCCCTCTGACAACACTGCCTTCTGAAGCTCTACAGACGGAAGCTATTAAGTTATTTAAGGTAAAATAGTTATGTGTTGTTAAATACTTTAACTGGAAAAAATAATAATAATTTGGGTTATAAAGTTCCACTCTGTTCACAAAAATACAAAAAGTGTTTACTATTATTATTATTAAGAAAATCTACTGAAAAAAAATTAGGTGAATTTAATGTGCTGAGTGAGGATTTGGGATTTATTGAAATAAACTATGAATGGTTGGGGCAATATGGAACACTTGATATGAGAAGAATCATTTCCTCTTAAACCGCTCAAATGGAAAGATTTTTCACACCACACCAACCTGTGTGTTGGGAGGGGTCAGAATTCCCCTTCCTCTCCAGTGCGACTCTCAAATTCTTATTCTTTCACTTCTATTAGAAATTCCTAATCGCTTGAAACTTGCTGTTCAGCTATATCACTCTTCATTCCCCCATCTCTGTCATCAGTCACCTTCTAGTAACTTCTCAAATTTCATTAAGGATTTTGGCTCCCAACTCACATTCTTTCTCTCTACCTCCAGTTTTGCAAATGACTTTATCATCACTTCATTCATCAGTGCCACAGTATTAAGATTCCTGACCTTGTTAATTCCAGTAAGCTTCACCCCTGTCTTCTTCATCTTCCCATTCTCCACATCCTGACTCCTGACTTCACCATTCCTTACAGGTATGCTACCTCTGAAGGCTTAAATTCTAGTATCTCTTTCTTTCACCATAATCCTAGCCTACGCTGCTCTTATTTTCTTACTCTCTTAGTTTTTGTCATCTCTAAGACCTTTGTTTTGAGCCATTTATTTTCTTTGAGATTATGATAATTGCTTCTTCTTTATCCAGTCTGTATTATTCTCTTTAGTAGTGGTAGCTCCTTGAGACCCACACTTTCATGCACTCTTCAGCCAGACCCCAACCTATATCAATACTGTCTTGTCTGCTCCCACAGTAATCAGATGTGCACTGCCAGAGAACATCACACAGCCTTGTAGACCAGACCCAATATAAATCCCTGGTCTTCATCCCTCGTGGCCAACTCTCTGTCCTTTTGCTTGTCTTTGGTCACACCCCCCTCAAACTCCCTACTCAATAATACAATAGAGAAACTTGCCTTCTATTTCATTGAGAAAATTGGAGGACATCAACCAGGGTCATCTCAAATCCCTCCCCGCAACAGACATTATTTTCTCTGTTTTCTCCTCCAGTCCTCCAGTCTCAGAGTATGGTGTGCCGTCTGTGGTTCTCCAACTCCACACCAGAGTCGTGGTACTTCATTTGCCCTTAGATTCTTAGAGCCTCAATCTCTGTCTTTTGATTTCTTTTTCTCTATGTTACTCCTATCTCCAAAAACATTTTGTTTGTTAGATAATTTATAGAATCTTTGTTAATTTGGGGGGATTATGATAGCTATGTAAAAAATTCTTTATCAGTTGGAGATTCATACTAATGTGTTTACTGGTAAAGTAACATGATAGACATTAAAATACTCCAGGAAAAAAGTGGAGATGGGGAGGTGGTAGATGAAACAAGTTTGGGAAAATATTGATAATTATTGATACCGGGTGTTGGGTACGTGAGTGATCATTGTACTGTTCTCTCTACTTTTGTACATTTTTAAAATTTACGTGATGGAATGCTTTTAAAAATTCACCTGTAAAATACAGTACCCAAAACAAGAAAGACATCATAAATATATTTGAAAATCTGGATGAAGTGATCAATTTTATAAAAAATATAAAGGACCAAAATTGATTCTAGAGGAAAATGAAAATCTAAACAGGGGAATTTACCAAACTTTATGTGTGAATAATTTCAACACTGTTTAAATTGTCCCAAAGCATAGAAAAAGAAGGAAATTTTCCAAAGTCTGTTTTTTTCTTTTAATTTTTATTTTGGAAAATTTCAAGATTTCAGTATTATATTGAGGCCCAGTGT